CTTGGCTTAACGCAATTTTTTTTATCTTTACTCTCAGCCATCATGTGCAATGGTCTTTTATAACAGTAAGAAATTTAAAATTTCCTCGGAATCCCTCCCTCCAATCAATGTATTGTTCTGTTAATTATTAACTCCTAAACATGTCGGGAGTGCGTATTTACATACAAGTCGAGTTATTGTAAACAAGCAAAAGGAAAGGCAGAATACCAAATCGCTAACTACATAAACGCTTTTACTGTAGAAACTCTTCCTGTGAAGAAACGTCCGCACCCGAATACAATGTAAGTTTTTTTAGTAAATTATCCGATATATACTGTATATTGCTTGAAATTTATCATACAACATCCGTAATGCTTATATTCATGAACAGCGCTCGTGCTATTATACTAAATATTAGAGTTTATTCACTCAAACAATAATAAAGAGGGCAAGATCCCTGCTTAATTTTTTTACGAAATTTAGACAATCATGGAAATTAATTCGTAGACTTCTCTACTACATAATAAAATCCCCCCCTTCCCTCTTGAACAATGTTGGTAGGTGTGTGATATCACATTGGGATGATTTCAATCAACATTGTGTGTTAGGGGGAAAGGGGGAACAGCTATTGACTGTTAAATCAACATCTTTAACAATTACTGTGGTCATGTAGCGTGTCCAACGCAAAGTCTACCTATATTATTTCCATGATTACTCCAGTACCGTGAGCTGCACAAATGCATCACCAATGAGATACCATTGAAGCTGCTCCAACTCAGTGCAACTAGATAGATGAGCAGGTACGAGTGCATACAAAGAATAATTGATCAATGGGATGCCTTGAAGCTATGCTTCCAGATAGCCAGCTCTGAAATTAAATGCTACACCGCCAGAAAAATTTTCAGCATGTATGAAGACAACAAAAATTATATTTACCTGATTTTCATGGAGGGGACCTTGAAGGATTTTTCAAGAATAAATAAGCTATTCGAGCTAGCTGATGCTGATGTTGTACGTCTTGGTACTGACTTGATGAATTTCTTCTACTCGCTTTTACAACGTATCGTCATTCCATCGAAGCTTGAGAAGGTAAACAGAAGAGACCTCTTCTTCTAAAATTTCAAGAATGACCTGATGCCCGCTAGCTGCGCCCATCTTGGATATGCATTTATTAGTAATGCTGAACGACTAAAGGTTCCACAGCAAGCTGTAGCAGAAGTTAGGAAGCGATGTTTTGCATTTCTGGTAGAAGCAGCTGAACAAGTCCAGATGAGACTACCAAGCAATGTCACTGTCTTTCAGGATATGGCAAGCATTTCACCTGACGAAGTTCTGAAAGTCCAGGAGCTGACACGCTTGGCAACTCGCTTTCAAAATATTGTAAAGGATGTCGACAGTCTAAACAAGGAAATCCGTCAGCTCAAATTGCTGGACATTCCAGAGGACACGACCAAGGATTAAATTCTGGAATCTAATCAACGGGTACAAAGACGCAGCTGGAGAAATGCGTTTTGGGAATCTGTAGCAACTCGCATTAAGTCTTTACTCTTTACCGTATTCCAATGCAGAAGTAGAACGCATCTTCTCTAAGATGAATTATTTTAAGAACAAGACTAGAAACAGGATGTCTAGTGCTACTCTCGATGCGTTGATTCATAAATGTTATTTGATTTATTTCTATGGTCATTACTCAAATTTAACTAAACCACCTCTGAATGATTAGCAAAAGGTATCCTTTGCATCCTTTTTGCATCCTCGTTCCCAGGTTTTTCATGTACTACGCGCAGTACACGAAAAACCTGGGAAGGAGGATGGTATCGATTGTTAATGTAATTGTAATGATGGTATTGATTGTTTTAAAATGTGATCGATTGTTATGGTAATTGTAATTATGATACTTCTAGGGTAGTGCCAGGCTTCGGTTAGTGCATGGCTTAACACTTCCCCTAATGAGGGGACCTGAGAACTAATGAAAAAAATGTTGGGATTTTTTGGGGGGAAAATAGGGAATCTTGCGATTTTTTGGAAGCTATATTGGGATTTTTAGGAAAACTGACTTGGCAACATTGGTAATGACAATTGTTTTACATTATATTGTAACATGGATAATTAAAAGACTTTATTTATCCATGATTGTAAGTATTAAATAAGTTGTAGTGTGATTTTTATTATAAATAAAAGATGTCATTTCAATACTGGGTATCCAATGTACTTTAATTGTGTAATGTTTGTATGCAATTTCACCTGTTATGTCCTGGAACATAATTTATACTATGCTCAAACAACAGAAAAATAGTCAAATAATACTTTTAGAGAAACCAGAAATAAAAACATTAACTTTTGGAAATGTAGACATTAAATTTTATTTTATACACAAGTACAAAATAGTTCAACAAGATGAAACTTGCAACATTCAAAAATAAATTCAAAAACACATTTATGGGGCACACCTATTGCACATTAATTCCTTTCTGATGTTGTCCTTGCCATGTAGATCAAGAACATTTAGTTAGTCTCTGACAAAGTTTTTTTATATTTCTTATCCATAACAACTCCTTTTGAAGTTGGTTTTTAGCTCTTTTTTGAATTAATACAGGGTGTATCAAAAAAATGTCCCAAATGTAAAATTTTCGTTTTTCAGGATATTTTGCAGAATTTGGCAAATTTTTGTGTTCCTAGAGATAGTTAAGACTTATCTGGTATACCTAGGCCAAGTTTGGTTTTTCATTAACAAAATTATGTTACTGGGGGGGTGGTTTCTTTCATTGATATTGAGAGGGCTTGCGCGCGAAAATGTGAAGCTGAAATTGAGATATTATTTAGCTGTCTAAAAGTAGGAAAGCTTTTTAATAAACTGTCAAAGTTTCAGGAAAAATAATGCATACTGGGAGCAACGCGCGACCCCTAAAGGTGACAAATATTTCACTGCGCGCAGTGGATTAAATGCATTGTTGATTTTAGCGTGACCGATCTCATGCAAGGTTGGGAAAATGAATAAATTAAAGCGAGAAACTGAACACAAAAACAAAGCGATTTATTCATGATGTTAATCCTCAGCATGTCCACCATTTCATTCTAAGCAAACTGTGGCTTGTCAGCGCATAGTAAACACTGAACAGCGAACCATTCGTCTGTCCACTCGCCTAGATTTGCCGGTGGTAGCGTAGGCGATTTGCAAGAAAGAATTTCGAACGAAATGGAGAATTTGAGGCAGGACAGACAAATGGTTCGCTGTTCAGTGTTTACCATGCTCAGACGAGCCGCAGTTTGCATTGAAAGAAATCGTGGAAATGTTGAGGATTAACATCACGAATAAAAGTCTTGTTATTAAATCGCTTTGTTTTTGTGTTCAGTTTCTCGCTTTAATTTATTCATTTGCCCAGCCTTGCATGAAATCGGTCACGCTAAAATCAACGATGGATTTAATCCACTGCGCGCAATGAAATATTTGCCACTTTTAGGGGTCGTGCGTTGCTCCCAGTATGCATTATTTTTCCTGAAACTTTGACAGTTTATTAAAAAGCTTTCCTACTTTTAGACAGCTAAATAATATCTCAATTTCAGCTTCACATTTTCGCGTGCAAGCCCTCTCAATATCAGTGGAAAGAAACCACCCCCCCGGTAACATAATTTTGTTCATGAAAAACCAAACTTGGCCTAGGTATACCAGATAAGTCTTAACTATCTCTAGGAACACAAAAATTGGCCAAATTCTGCAAAATATCCTGAAAAACGAAGATTTTACATTTGGGACATTTTTTTTTATACACCCTGTAGTTTACCATTTTTGATTATAAGACATAGTAATGCACAAATAAAACATTACAGTAATCAAAATGTTATATCATTTATTTATTTATTTCTAACACATATTAAACAACCCAAAATCATCAAGCGATTGTCAAAATTTATTCTGCCTGTAGAGGTGGAAATAAGTTTACTAATGCCAAACAAGTTATTAGGATGTCATCAACCAATGACAGCTCCAACAAATTAAGTTCAGTAGATAAGATTTGGAACCATTTAACTCTTGCTGTTGCTTTTTCAACAAAAATTTTGCAACTTTACTTGTAACAGCGACTTCATCTGAGATCATTTGATTTCCTTTAGCTGCACTTGGAGGGATTGCTAAATAGCATCTCTTCATTGTGAGGTCCAACTTTATTTTGAACCCTCGGTCCGCCATAACGGTATTGTAAGGATCAAGTAGTTCTAAAAATCCTGAGTCTCTTACAATGAACACATCACTTGTTCTGCCACCATAACATGGGGATAACCATGAAATGGCTCCATTTGGTGTGATAGCAATTAATAATTTAATACCGTCAACTGGGGTGAATTGGGACAATTTTTAAGCATTTTTAGTAAAATCTACTCAGATAATTTTCAAACAGGGCTCATTATATGTCATAATTAAGGTCTCTTACTACAGTTTACAACACCATATTCAGTAATTACTCATGTAGTATGAATTAGGCTTTTTTTGAAAAAAACTGCCTTGTCCCAATCAACCTCATGTTGGGGTGATTTGGGACACAATGTTTAATACTAAGAAAATTAGTCTGAAATCATAGTAGGCCAATTGGGACTTGGGTGGGGTGATTTGAGACACTTAAATCCTTTCAGTAAGACAAATAAAATTCCAATGCAATTCTCAAAAATGGAGCAAAATGTTAATTTTTCAAATGTAGCAATCTATAATAATGCAAATCTCTGTATTTCAAACTGTTTTCTTTTAAACATGAAGCAAAAATATTTATAGCATGTGTAATTGAAAAGACAATGAGAATTAGTTCATCTTATTTAAAACCAAACCATGCAATAGTTTATAATACTTAGTTTAAACTGGTTTTGCAGTAAATTGCAAACATAGTACATATGGTACGGTAGCTAAAAGTTCATTTTTACTTTCCCAAAAATGTCTTGCATTTGTTCATCAAATGTTAAGTTAGATTCTTAAATAACATAAAAACACAGTTTCTCAAAAACAACTTAATTTTTTTTGTTGTGTTCCACCTATGTTAATAGCTATATTTCCAGCCTCGTCCAGCTTTTTTTAATTGAGGTGTGACATCACATTCATAAATACTTGCATAAAACACTGCATCTTTTTCTCTTTCAAGATTTTGTGGTTCCCTTATACCATAGGGCTTTTCAAGGCACTGGACCATGCTTTCCCCTCCAGCCTTTTTAAGGACTTTTCCAACAAACACTTCCTCTTCATATAGAACTTTAACCCACTGTCCAACAGATATTTCATGTGGCGCTAATTGCTTTAGTGTTAACTCAGCAGGCTCATCATCAATGCTTGACTTGTCTGATTCATCCAAAGAATTTTCAGACTCAGAATCTTCAGACTCCGAATCTTCAGACTCAGAATCATTCTCGTCAGAATCTTGAGATGCATCTTTGTCCTCACTTTCAAGAAAGTCATCCACACTGTAACTTTTTCCAGGGTCTACTGTAACCTTTTTCCTTCTCTCAGGTTTTTTGTTTTCAACTGGACTGTGCATGATTTTCAGCTGATCTAGTATAGCTGAGGAGATGTTGCTGGCACTGGCAGATGTAGAAGGTTCACTCTGTGGCAATTTCGAGATCAATGCTTCAGGGTTAAATGGGTAGATACCACATGCTTGGAATCCGGATATAAGGTTATCAGTATTCAGTGATTCTGTTAAGTCTTTTAACAGTCGAGGGAATGAATCCTTTGGAATGCTTGACAAGAATTGATTTTTCAATTTCCAGAACTTTAATATTTTCCGCCACTTACGTTTTAATGGTGCATAAAAAGCAACATCGAGTGGCTGGGACAAATGCGTACTATTTGGAACCAAACACACGAACGAGATATTGTGGTCTTCACACAAACGGATAACATCAATTGAAAAATGGCTGGACAGGTTGTCACCAATAACAACCTTTTTTCCCTCCTTCTGTCGCGCCCATGGTAGGACAATAGTACGAAACCAGTCATCAAATGAGATAGCATCGAACCAACCACTCTTAGAACGATTATATCGAGCACCCTTTGGACCTCCAGTTGTCCAAGTGTTCCACATGTGAATTGCTTTATACACAACATAAACTGGAAGTAACTCACCATTGGCAGATCCACAGAACATTACACTGGTACTTCCTTTGGAATAGTTCATTACCCGCTCAGGATACTTCTTCCCACGTTTGAAAATAAGTTTTTCTTGCCCAGGATCATCAGAAAGATTCGTTTCATCATAATTTAAAATGTTTTCTGGTGGAACATCATTCACAACTTCTTTCAAGTTTTCAAAGTACTTTTCAAAGTCTTCTTTATGCATTTCAGCACGCTTGGTTTTAATGTTTTGACACAAACGCTGACGAATCACATTTCTATGGCGCTTTAAAAAGCTTTTAGCCCATTCCTCGCCAGGAAGATTTCCTTTAAATTTTTTGATACTTCGACCAGACTTGTCCAAATAAGATTTGACCAAGAGACGAAGATCTAACTTTGAAAATGGAAATCCCCATTCAGCAACCACGATCAGATGATTTGCAATCAATACTTCTTCTGCATTTGTGAGGCACGTTTGTCCACCTTGTGGCTTCATTTGAAGGCCTTTAAATTTTCGATTTAAGGTTGACTTCGGAATGTTGAACGTGTTTGCAGCTTTACGAACTGACATGCCTTCTTTAATCTGCTCGAGAGCATTAACAAGTGACTGTTTTGTATAATCACCATATTTCTTTTTTTTTGAGCCAACAACACGTTTATATTTTCTCATTATAAATTTAAATTTAACGGTAAGTTAAAAAACATGGCCGTTTGATTGCTTTTCTAATGTCCCAATTCACCCCAAATTATCCCTCATTCAAAACAAATACTCCTTTGTACCCCAAGCAAACAGGAAATATACAGGGATGTTTCCACTTGTTATTCTTACGTTATGGTTTATCAATCCCTTCCAAAATTTTTGTTTTTGGCAACAAGCGTAGCAACAGAACAACCAATTTTTTGTGATCACTAAATGTAACAATTTTTTAATTTTAAAGTAAAGCTTGATTATTTCAGTGAAAGTAAAAATAAAAGTAAAACACTTCAGTTTTCTTGAAGCCTCATAACACTTAGCGAACCATCATAAACATAACTTTTAGTAACAAAGCATTCTCTCTCAGAAACATCTGGGCAACAATTGAAGGGAATTAGTGTCCCAATTCACCACACTGTCCCAATTCACCCCAGTTGACGGTAGTATAATGGTGCTTATAATCACTCCATAAATATGCCCCAACTTCCAAAGATGATGGAGTCTCCACAAAGACTTCTGAACAATCAATAATGACTCTAACTTTGGGGTATGTACGTCTAAAAGCATGTGGTAAAGTAGCGTATATTTGTCCTTTAGATGGCCATATGATGAGATGCCGCAATTCTTTGGATAGAAGCTTGACCCAGGTTATCCATATCTGTGACACTCTGGTGGTTGAAATTTGAAATCTAAAAGCCAAGTCCTTAATAAGTAATCCCAGGCGCAATCTCATCATAGTCAACAAATATTCTTGTTCTAATGAAGATTTACGTGGTGGTCCGGGTTTGTTTATTGGTAATATAGATCCTTCAACATATTCAGGGGATGAAATTATGGAATCTATCCTGTTCTGTGTAAGTTTCTTCTCTCTCCACAGAAGAACTCCTTTTAGGACCTTCCCAGTATTTCATCAATTGTGCTCTTGGTACTAAAAAGTTAAATATTTCCTTAAAGCTTTTTATGCTGTCAAAGCCAGTAAAAAATCTAACATCACTTTCTCTGGTTATTTGGGCAAATTGCATTGCAGTGTATATATGATCAACATTTGGAAATGTGTTTCTTGAACATTGTTCCTCTTCTTGTAGTCCTGAACATTCATCATTTTCACTGTCAAACAACCAAACTCTTCTCTTCTTTGAAGGACTCCCCCTCGGATGTAACTGTTTTGGATGTCTGTAGTCCTCTAATGTCAGGTAAAGAGTAGGGTTTGGGTGTACTGGTGGGCTTGCCGTCTGGAAAGTGATTTGAGCATATTCGGCTGCCATCACTTAGAACAAATTCACATCTCCCTTTCCCCACAAAAGAAGTCCATATTTTTCTCTTGCTCTCGTCCTTTGTGGGAAATCGGTGCCACTTTAATTCTGTAACATGTTCCATCACAACTAGCTTGTCTGGATAACGTTTGTCATTGTCGCACGATCCTACACAACATCTATCGGTACAAACCATTGTAGGAGTTTTGAGGGAGCACAAGCAAACTTTTCAATGTTTTAAAAAGGTTTAAAAATTTGTTTGGGCACGTTTACATGACGAAAACAAACGTTCACTCCTGCATATTCTAATCTGCCATCTTGGGTTCAAAGTCCAATTTGCTACCCACGCAATATGGCAGGCGATAACCCGGAAATCGTTTATGTCACTGGCTTCAATTGTGTACTACAACATAACTTGTGTAAATATTTGGGATAAGTCAATGTTGAACTCAATATTATTAACTGGTAACAGTCTTTATGATTGTATTAGTAGATCAGTACAGAAAGATTTCTTACTACTTACTGATGTACCTGAACTGGTATCAATGTACAATAAAATATATTACTTACAATATAGTGAGTCATTTTGTGGAGGTTTATTTATGACCTCAAACAATGAGCCATATGTTACACTAAAACATGCTCTAAACAAGATATTCTCTAGCTCATTGCTGAATGACCAGAGTGCTTTCCTCACCATTGGTGATAACACGGTGTCAATATTCAGGTCTTTTCCTAATGTTTTTAAAATTTTCAATTTTCATTCAAGAGATGAATATGGCATGCCATGTCAAAAGAAAGTGACACTGAGAAACAAATAAGACGTCAGAAAGATAATGAGTCACACAAAAGAAAACTGTCAAATGAAAATGACAGTGAAAGGCAAATGAGACTTGAGAGAAATAATGAGTCAATATGCCAAGATATCCTAAAGATTCGGCTGTAATTATTGTTAAAGTCAAAGGTTGAGACAACACATTCAAAGATGTGACTGTGCAAAAGCAGAAAGTCTATGATGCACTCATCTGGCTAATTAATAATAATCCACATTATTCTGAAGTAACAATTAATGAGCATACATTAAACAGTTTACCTGACACTGGTGTATCACCAGAACTAATGACTGTTGAGACTAATGATGATATCATCTCAGATGATTGTGCTCAGAATACTGGACCACCTGTTGACAATCCTTCAGAGGATGTTGTTTACAATGACTCAACTGACATGAGTAGCTTTTTACCTGTTGGTGAACAAGAACAACAAGAACTTGAAGCTGTTAGTAATCAGCTTGCTGAAGATGAGCCAATGGCATGGCAATCTCTTAACAATGAACCTGTAAATGAGTATCAGGTTTCTTATTTAGCCACAATGGCCTCCCCAGCATTATTTCCAGATGGCTAAGCTGACCCGACTAACAAAGGGCTTCTCAGAGATGTTCCTTCTCAGGAACAAATAAAGCATCTGCATACTGGGCATTTAACATCATTCAGAGAAAGCAAATTTTACAGCAAAGTGGAATTTTCCTAAAACAAAACCCAGGTGAAGCTCATCTCACTCTTGATGAACTACGTGAAATGGCTGCCAGTAACAGTGCAAATGTCTTTATGTCTAAAGTATCAAGATATGTTGCCAATATTGGTGGTACTGATGCTTACTGGAATAAAGTAAGAGTAGAGCTGAAAGCCATTATTACTAATGTTGGAGCTCCAACAATATTCTTCACCTTTTCCCCTGCAGATATGCATTGGCCAGAGTTACATGCATTGTTTCGTGCTTATCCTGACTGTGACACAACTAGTGCACAAACAAGACGACAAAATGTCATTGACAATCCACACCTTGTTGATTGGTTTTTTACCCAATGACTTGAAAGCTTTGTGAGACACTGGCTTTATGGCACTGGTTCAGATATGAGCACCAAGGTTGTGGTAGCATTCACTGTCATGGCACTGCCAAACTGAACAATGACCCAGACTTGTGTGAGCTAACTCAGACTGATTGAAGGGATTCTTAGCACAGAAATTTAAAGATAAAAATGAGTGCATTGACACCACAGAATTAGACCAGGATATTGAAGCCGGTCAAGTAGCTGCTGACACTGTATGTCGATATGTTGATTGGTTGATGTCAACCATGAACCCTAACTGTCCAGAGGAAGACACCTTGATAAGACCTGGGGTTCATCCTTGTCAATGATGCCATAATGATATTCCTGATTGGGATAAGCCAACAAATTATGTGGATCTGCTAAACATGGTCCAACGATACACTTGTTGTAGTACTAGCTATTGCCTTAGGAAGAAGGGAAATGAAAAAGAGTTGAAATGTAGATTTAATTTTCCAATAGAACATTGTCCTCAGACAAAGTTAGAATTTGAGGAAGTTCACACCAAAGGTGAAAACAAACACTACAGGGCAAAAATTGGGTTATATCGTTATGTTTCACGCACGAATATATGAATATTACGTAATCAGCTATATATTATATGACATCATATAAACTTCACTGGTATTATATTATAGCTCTATATATACGTATGCATTATAAACGTTATTGACAATATGTGCGTTATAGGCGTTATTGGTGTTATAGACGTATTGGCGTTATTGGTGTTATAGGCGTTATTGGTGTTATGAGCGTTATTGGCGTTATTTGCGTTGTTGGTGTTATTGACGTTATTGGTGTTATACGCGTTATTGGTGTTATTGGCGTTATAGGTGTTATTGGCGTTATTGGTGTTATGAGCGTTATTGGCGTTATAGGCGTTATTGGCGTTATTTGCGTTATTGGTGTTATGAGCGTTATTGGTGTTATTGGCGTTGTTGGCGTTGTTGGCGTTATTGGTGTTATAGGCGTTATTGGTGTTATAGGCGTTATTGGTGTTATAGGCGTTATTGGCGTTATTGGTGTTATTGGCGTTATAGGTGTTATTGGCGTTATAGGTGTTATGAGCGTTATTGGTGTTATTGGCGTTATAGGCGTTTTAGGTGTTATAGGCGTTATTTGCGTTATTGGTGTTATGAGCGTTATTGGTGTTATTGGCGTTATTTGCGTTGTTGGCGTTATAGGCGTTATTGGTGTTATAGGCATTATAGGCATTATTGGTGTTATAGGCGTTATTGGTGTTATAGGCGTTATTGGTGTTATAGGCGTTATTGGTGTTATAGGCGTTATTGGTGTTATAGGCGTTATTGGTGTTATAGACGTATTGGCGTTATTAGTGTTATGAGCGTTATTGGTGTTATTGGCGTTATTGGTGTTATTGGCGTTATTTGCGTTGTTGGTGTTATTGACGTTATTGGTGTTATAGGCGTTATTGGTGTTATTGGCGTTATTGGTGTTATTGGCGTTATAGGTGTTATTGGCGTTATGAGCGTTTTTGGTGTTATAGGCGTTTTAGGCGTTATTTGCGTTATAGGCGTTATTGGTGTTATAGGCGTTGTTGGCGTCATAGGCGTTATTGGTGTTATGAGCGTTATTGGTGTTATTGGTGTTACAGGTGTTATTGGCGTTAGAGGCGTTATTGGTGTTATGAGCGTTATTGGTGTTATTGGCGTTATTGGTGTTATGAGCGTTATTGGTGTTATTGGCGTTATTGGCGTTATTTGCGTTATAGGCGTTATTGGTGTTATAGGCGTTGTTGGTGTTATTGGCATTATTGGTGTTATGAGCGTTATTGGCGTTATTGGTGTTATTTGCGTTATAGGCGTTATTGGTGT